CCAGGCCACCGAGAAGGCAAGGGTAGAGAGAGAGAGAGAGAGAGGGGGAGAGAGAGGAGAGAGAGGAGAGGGGAATGAGAGTGAGAGAGAGAGAGAGAGAGAGAGAGAGAGAGAGAGACGCTGTAAATAATATTCTTGCTCAAGGTAACACACTGTGCAACTTAGTAAAAATCATATTTAAGAGTAAATCCTATACGAAGCATATTACTGCCAAGGACGATTAAAAGATGATGCTAGACGAAGGAGGAGGAGGAGGAAGACAAGGAGAGGAGGAAGAAGAAGAGAAGGTAATAGTGAAGATGGTAGTGGTAATGACGGTATTATTATTATTATTATTATTATTATTATTATCATTATTATTATTATTATTATTATTATTATTATTATTAGTATTATTATTATACTGAAGAAGGGTATCCTCTGGTTAACATCCCCCGCTGGTCTTCAGAGAAGGACCCAATGACTATAAGTATCACTCATTCCGCTGAGAGATAATCGCAAGAATTACGTTATGACGCTGGACTTCCTCCGTGCGCTGACGAGGCTGTCTGTAGAGATTACCCTCGTGAGTAAGAGGGGGGGCCTCCAGTACCTCTTCCAAGCTGTGAATTTATTCATAAGATGCCACTCTGGAGTGATAGCCGTACCGGGACCAGTGTGAAGGCTCGACACGCACTGCGCATGAGAGATGCACTTGTGATGGAGATCCAGGAAGTGATTGGTAGGGACATCTGCTTGGCTGTTTACAGCCATCCCTGAAGAAGGTCCTGCATTTCCTCAGAGGTGGAAGAGGAGGTGCAAGGTCAGAACGAAGGACACTCTCACATTCAATTTCTCTCTCTCTCTCTCTCTCACGTAGTGGAGGCAGGAACCATACATAGTTTTAAGACGAAGTTTGATAATGCTGATGGAGCAGGGAGGAAGAGGACCTAGTAGCGACCAGTGAAGAGGCGTAGCCAGGAGCTATGAATCGACCCCTGCAACCACAAATAGGTGAGTACACACACATACACACACACACACACACACACACACACACCACAAACACACACACACACACACACAACACACACACACACAACACACACACACAGGAAATAGACTATAGGGAACCTCTTTGTGGTAGTGACCACGCAGTCCTGAACTTTGATTGCCTGGTGGAGGTGAATCTGGAGAGAGAGAGAGAGAGAGAGAGAGAGAGAGAGGAGAGAGAGAGAGAGAGAGAGAGAGAGAGCGAGAGAGAGAGAGAGAGAGAGAGAGAGAGAGAGAGAGGAGACAGACAGAGAGAGAGAGAGAGAGAGAGAGAGACAGAGACAGAGACAGAGAGGGAGCGAGACTGCTGGATGGGGATCCTAGAGTAATTCAGGAGAGGGAGAGAAACGTATTATGCAGGAATATCATAGTATTGGAGTAGAGGAGGGAGATCGTGGGGTACAGGAGAGGGGTGCATGAGAAGGATTGTGGAACACAGCAGAGAGCACACACAGTGTCTTTGCTTCCTCTCTCAGGGCCCACTAAGACACAGTATCGGCTCCTACTGTCTCTGGTGTGCACTGTTCACTTAGCAGTTTCTTGGCTTCCAGCTTCGTTATGTTGATGTCTGCACTCCTCCTGCACTGGCCCAGTTCCCTCTGTCAATACCTCCCTCAAACGCTTGTTTTCTTCCTTACACACCTCCTTGCCACTCCTCGTTATCTATCTTCCCTTCTTAAGCACTATCTCTTGCTCCCATACTGCCCTTCCTTCCATGTGGCTACGTACCAGTTTCTCCCTTCACCCTCAATATCATAATATTTTTTATTTCTTATTTATCTCCTGTTTCATTATAATTGCAAATAATTTATCTTCCATTTTTTCTTTCGACGGTTTTTTCCTCATCCTCCACCTTCTTCGTCCTTCTAAGCTTGCTCCCTGGCGTATCAGAAGATGTATGTGCAAGTTCCCAACACCTGCTGCCTCCGTGTTACTAGAAGTAAACAGGTACCTGGGTGTTAGTCGACTCTGTTGTGTTACCACCTTAGTTCTTATTATTATTATAATCAAAAAGAAGCGCTAAGCCACAAGGGCTATACAGCACCTTAGCTCTTAGCTGGCTTGATAGCAAACCTTACACGTGTCTCAACTCGACACTATGTGACAAAAACCACTCTTCTAAAACCCACCTAAAGTAGCCAGGCCACTTAACTTTTTTTTTTCTCTCTCTCTCTCTCTTTCCTGTTTTTTCATCCTTCGTACCTCTCTCTTCCTGTCTACCCCACAACCTTTTTTACTTCTCTCTCTTTTCCCGTCTTCTCACTACCTTTTCACTGCTCTATCCTACTCCAGTCCTTCTCCCTATTCTCGACATTGATCTTATGGCCTAGCCAAACAAAATGAAAGCGGCGCTGCGGCGCTGTCTGCCTGTGTGCCTGTTTATCTGTCATCTCAACTGCTCCTCTGTGTTTGTATATGTTTACTCATCTCGTTGTGTGTGTGTACTCACTTATTTATGGTTGCAGGGGTCAATTCATAGCTCCTGGACCCGCCTCTTCGCTGGTCGCTACTAGGTCCCCTCTCTCCCCGCTCCAAGAACTTTGTCGCGCATCTTCTTAAAGCTATGTATGGATCATGCCTTCTTCGTGTGTGAGAGAGTGGGTGTATTCACCTGTTTGTGGTAGTAGGGTTCGAGTCTCAGCTCCTCCCTACGTTCTCCGATCTATCCTCTCTAACTACCATGCTCTATCCTTCAACTCTCGTCTGCAACATCCGCTTCACAACCCTGGAGTTCATGGGTAAGGAAAAACTACGTCAGGTTCTTTGAGCAACCCCTCGCCTACCGTCAACACCCACTGCGCTCCTGCAGCTTTTTATAAATAAGGACGTCTGTCTCTACGGTTCCATCAGACGCGAATTTTTTTTAGTGTTTTGTTTACCAAACTTAAAATAAAAATTCCCAAATCGTGCCCTGATCGTAACGTCAGCATTCTGCTTTGATACTCTTCTTGTTCTTTCCGTATTTTGGATTAGTCCAGTCACCCGAGAGGATTTCCCGGACACCTGCGGAAGGTGTACAAGAAGTAGCCTGGGGATTTTATGAGGTCAGCGGTAGCTACCTGGGGATTACAAGTGGCTAAGTGGATTACTAGACCCGGAGGTAATTGACGGCCAGCCGACGTAGGTGACCAAGACCCAGGCTAATTCCGGCATGTTTACCTGTGCTTGATTCCTGGTCTCAGACCAGACCTCCTGGTCTTGACCAGTCAGGCAGGGGGTGGCAGCAGCACGCAGTCCAAGGCTGGTCAGGAAGGGGCTCCAGGAATCGATCAAGTTCTCTCCTGAAGATCTAAGGGCTGTGAGGGGAAGAGGAAATGGAACTGCAAGGGATGGAATAGTGATGGAGAGTGTCGCTGGTAGCTGAGGGAAGGTGAACAGGTTGGTAGTGAAGGTAATTAAGGAATTATTATTATTATTATTACTATTAGTAGTAGTAGTAATGCTGCTGTTGCTGTTGTTATTGAACCACTGGATTAAGAGCTCATCACCGGCGTCAAGGTAACCTTGAATGGAATCTTGTGAGAACTGATTGAGCGACTAAGAGCGTGTGCTTAATACCAGTCCTTCCTTGACGGGACCCAAAGATATTCTTTAGCTTCACTTCAGTGGAAATAAGTCACTGTTCTGTCATCCAAAGTTATAGACTTTGATTTAAATTTTGCCACCGAAGTAGCTACTGTCTTGCGCATGTCGTCGATATGAACACCTGCGACTTCGTGTCAACCTTTGTGAACGACACCAAAATAAGCATGAAAGTTGCCTACGTAGAAGATATGAAAATATTTCAGTCAGACATCAACAGATTCTTCCAGTCAGCAAAGTAAACTAACATGATGTTCAGTGATGATAAATTCCAAGTGTTCAGGTACAGAAAGAATAAAAGCCCGAAAATGAGCACTGAACACAAAGAACAGGAAGACCATCTCACAGAATGAAAGGAACACGTAATAACACTTGGATATAATAATGTCAGATGAGCACTCATTTAGAGAACACAATAAGACAAATGCCGTGAGAGCCAGAAAAAAAAGGGTGAACAATGAGAACTTTCAAAACAAAAGTAATGATGTCACTAGTATTGTTAAAAATGGTATAAAATACCGACAGGTTGATGATTAAGACACATGTGCAACAGTTGGGGGTCTTTTTTGTGGAAACTTTTCGCCTACACAGCAGGCTTCTTCAGTCAAATACAGAGGCAGTAGGTGTAGTAGTGAAATGAAGATGATGCAATCAGTCCATCAACCTTGGAGAAACAATATTTGAGGAACGATAATATCGTTCCAGATCATGGAGCTGAACTCTTCTCTAGGCTGAGGGACTGACCACCTTAAATACCATTTCTCCAAGACTGATGGACTAATTATGCCATCTTCATTTCACTACTACTACACTTACTACCTCCGTATTTGACTGAAGAGCCTACTGTGCAGGCGAAACGTTTCAACAATAAAAATACCCAACTATTGCACACGTGTCTTAATTATCACAGTGTCACCAGTCAAACTGCTTGTGCTCTCTCGCTTAGACTACTGTTCAGTGTTGACGTCTCCTTTCGAGTCATGAGATAGTGTAGACCCAATAAAGCCTAACAGTACCAGAAAATACACAAGTAAAATACTTGAGAGTATAGTTTTAAACCTACACACTAGCATATAAACACATTGGGATGATACACATAACAGCAAAATAAACCAGGCTAAAGGGACACAGATGCAACTAATATTAAATTGTATTGTGGCAATGTTTCGCTCTCCAGGAACTTTGTCAAGCCGTTAACAGTAATGTATGGGTAATTAATACATCTATGCAAAGGTATATGTGCGTTCGTGTTATGTTTGGTATAAGTTATGTTATGTTCGTGTTATGTTTCTGTTATGTTTGTTATGTTTGTTATGTAATGTTTATGTTATCCTAGCCACAATTTCAACAATTATATTTCACTCTCTTCTCTTTTGTTCTTGCAGTCATGATGAGGAAGGGTGGTGTGGGCGGTAGTCTGCGAGACAAGTCGCCAACCCACGCCCACCCACGCCCACTGTGTGCCCACCGCCCACACAGGTTCGGGCCAAAGCGACACCCTCCTCACACCACAACCCGGCTCTGAAAGTTCTCATATACAATCTTCCTGTTGGAGAAACACAGTTCTGTGGTACCATATGTGTCAGTGAATTGAGTGCGTTCTATCTTCCGCGAAGTGCGAAATGAAGTGTACATCTGTGTGCGTTTAAACAGCGTGTGTACATTCTAATTGCATTTTTATGTTGTAAGAAGAGTGTACATAGTGCGTGTACGTTCAAACGTGGCACTTACGCGTGCTCTGGTGCATTTACATTGATACGTTTCCAACAAGTGCGGCGTCTAGACGTAGATTCCCACAATGCGTGCATCGTGTTGAGTGCGTCTGGGTGTCGAGCTGGGTAAGCAGTAACTCCCTCGAGTGCGTGTGAGGAGTGAGGGAGCTTACACTTATTGTGTTCGCAAGATAGTGCTCAAGTGCGTCTTCACAATCAAGGAACCCATTTTGATAACATGCGGAAGGTCCCTCGTCTCTCACCCATAACAAAACACTTAACTAAAGGAGTGCGAAAGCAAAGTTATCTTCAGTAAGACACTTTTTTTTTTGAGACCGAAGAAAGAGTCTCTTTGAGAATGAGTGCATACCAGTCAATGGTACCACTCCTTGATACCGTGTCATTGTGACACCTCTATTATTACCCGTATTACCACAATTACTATCATTACCATCACCGTCATCATGCCTTCTTTAGCAGAGCCAACAGAGCGGCTTCCTTATGAAGTCCCGCTCACTCTAGATCCGCTAGACATGGCGGACTTCACCAAGCTGAAAAACAAAGACTTGGAAGGGTTCAGCCTGGATGGTAAACCTGGAGAGATGGAACAGGTGATGGAGGAACTGTGGGAAAAGTTCATGGAGCAGTCGAGGTTCAACCTAACTGACCTGGACGAGGAACAACACAAGAAGATGGACCGGTGCTTCGATGATTTCGTTACAGCGTACTACGACCCCAACAGGGACCCACGGGCGTGCCCCAGCATGTTCGACGAGGTCTCTTGCTGGCCTGAGACCTCCCCGGGCACTTTAAGAACGATCGAGTGCTTCACGGTCTTCAAGGACATTATGTATGACAACGTGGGTAAGTGCCTCTATCCCTCTCAAACCTCAATCATCACTTAAATCTTCTGCCAACACTTAACTCTTTCGCCCAGAATTCCTGAAACTCTTGCGCTTGCCGAGTAGTCAGTTTTATGGCACTTGCGCTCATGTTTTCAATATAAAGTGAAATCCCTTATACCCCTGTCTCACGTCCTCCACTTTCCTTCACTCTTTCCACCAAAACATCAATAGGGGCTCCATCCTCCATGGAGGGGGAATTAAGTGTTCTTATTGGCGGTAACTACTGAACCACCTCAGGCTGGTTCAGTAATTTGCTATCATTGTGTTTTGTTATCTACTAATATTTTGTTTACAAAAGTAAGATCTGTGGAGACAGTGTTTGCTTCATATGTCAGCAGTTTAACACCAGATACAGCGTTAAGCTCAACAGTTTTATCCCAGACAGAGAAAAAACCAAGCCAGTACTGACACTACTGATGTACGTAAATTAATGGTAGTTTGCATCAGCTAAAAGAGCTGACGAGGTAATCCTTGAACTAATACTAGCGTAACTACAACATAATATAACAAAGATCCAACATAGGCAGTGAACATCAATCTCATTGTTCAGAAATCAACAACAGCTCAGGGAGAATCCACCAACTTTTCCATTTCGTACTGACTTGTGTTCCAGTGAATTCACTAAAAAGTAACGTACATGAATGGTATACAGTACCAACAAGATGAAAATTAGACACATGTGCAACATCTGGGTATCTTTAATTGCAGACGTTTCTCCAACCAGTGGCTTTATCAATACAGATTCCAGGACATAACTTGATAAACTAGACACATGTGCAACTCTTGGGTATCTTTATTGAGGAAACGTTTCGCCACACAGTGGCTTCATCAGTCCATACAAAGGAGAATCTTGAAGAACAGGAGGAGAATGAGGTAATCAGTCCCTCAACCTTGAGTCGATGTGTTCAGTCCATCAATCTAGAATAGAATGCGGCATATGAGCGGAGAAGCAGCTTATAAACCGTATGGACAGGAGAGGTGCAGCAGTCGTAGGTGGTGTCACATTTGTCCAATGTGGAAGTAGGTCGTGCCCAAGGGTGGGCCAGCGAAGAATTCCCAAGTATTAAGATCCCAAGAAGTTGCAGTGTCTGACAGGATTGTAGATGAATGGTTCAGAGAACCGACACGTGTCGGTTCTCTGAACCATTCATCTACAAGGACATAACTTGAAGATAGTAGAACTATATAGAAAAGATGAGGTAGTCAGCACCTCAGCCTTGGAGTTGGTGTGTAGAGCACCGTAGTCGAAGAGATTCTGCGTTCATAAAGCCACTAGTTGGCGAAACGTCTACAATTAAAGATACCCAGATGTCGCACATGTGTCTAATTTTCATCAAAAAGTAACGTCACCGTCAAGACATTTACCAAGTTTGGCTAAACACGTGACACAAACTGATAGATAAAATGGTGGGTCATCCACTGTGAGACACTGATATATGGGTCATCCACTGTGAGACACTGATATATGGGTCATCCAGTGTGAGACACTGATATATGGGTCATCCAGTGTGAGACACTGATGTATGGGTTATCCAGTGTGAGACACTGATATATGGGTCATCCAGTGTGAGACACTGATATATGGGTCATCCAGTGTGAGACACTAATATATGGGTCATCCAGTGTGAGACACTGATATATGGGTCATCCAGTGTGAGACACTGATATATGGGTCATCCAGTGTGAGACACTGATGTATGGGTTACCCAGTGTAAGACATTGATGTTAAGGGTGTTGGAGTGCAGGTACACTGATGTTAGCAGTGTTGGAGTGCAGGTACACTGATGGTAGCACTGTTGCAGTGCAGGTACACTGATGTTAGCAGTGTTGGAGTGCAGGTACACTGATGTTAGCAGTGCTGGAGTGCAGGTACACTGATGTTAGCAGTGCTGGAGTGCATGTACACTGATGTTAGCAGTGTTGGAGTGCAGGTACACTGATGGTAGCAGTGTTGGAGTGCAGGTACACTGATGTTAGCAGCGTTGGAGTGCGGGTACACTGATGTTAGCAGTGTTGCAGTGCAGGTACACTGATGTTAGCAGCGTTGGAGTGCGGGTACACTGATGTTAGCAGTGTTGGAGTGCAGGTACACTGATGGAAGCAGTGTTGGAGTGCAGGTACACTGATGGTAGCAGTGTTGGAGTGCAGGTACACTAATGGTAGCAGTGTTGGAGTGCAGGTACACTAATGGTAGCAGTGTTGGAGTGCAGGTACACTGATGGTAGCAGTGTTGGAGTGCAGGTACACTGATGCTAGCAGTGTTGAGTGCAGGTTCACTGATGTTAGCAGTGTTGAGTGCAGATACACTGATGGTAGCAGTGCGGAGTGCAGGAACACTGATGTTAGCAGTGTTGAGTGCAGGTACACTGATGTTAGCAGTGTTGAGTGCAGGTACACTGATGTTAGCAGTGTTGAGTGCAGGTACACTGATGTTAGCAGTGTTGAGTGCAGGTACACTGATGTTAGCAGTGTTGAGTGCAGGTACAGTGATCTTAGCAGTGTTGAGTGCAGGTACACTGATGTTAGCAGTGTTGCGCGAAGGTACACTGATGTTAGCAGTGCTGAGTGCATGTACACTGATGTCAACAGTGTTGAGTGCACGTACACTGATGTAAGCAGTGTTGAGTGCAGGTAAACCGATGTTAGCAGTGTTGAGTGCAGGTACACTGAAATTAGCAGTGTTTAGTAGAGGTACACTAATGTTAGCAGTGTTGAGTGCAGGTACACTGATGTTAGCAGTGTTGAGTGCAGGTACACTGATGTTAGCAGTGCTGAGTGCACGTACACTGATGTTAGCAGTGTTGAGTGCAGGTAAACCGATTTTAGCAGTGTTGAGTGCAGGTACACTGAAATTAGCAGTGTTGAGTGCACGTACACTGATGTTAGCAGTGTTGAGTGCAGGTAAACCGATGTTAGCAGTGTTGAGTGCAGGTACACTGATGTTAGCAGTGCTGGAGTGCAGGTACACTGATGTTAGCAGTGTTGAGTGCAGGTTCACTGATGGTAGCCGTGTTGAGTGCAGGTACACTGATGTTAGCAGTGTTGAGGGCAGGTACACTGATGTTAGCAGTGTTGAGTGCAGGTACACTGACGTTAGCAGTCTTCAGTGCAGGTACAGTGATGTTAGCAGTGTTGAGTGCAGGTACACTGATGTTAGCAGTGTTGAGTGCAGGTAAACTGATGTTAGCAGTGTTGAGTGCAGGTACACTGATGTTAGCAGTGTTGAGTGCAGGTACACTGATGTTCGCAGTGTTGAGTGCAGGTACACTGATGTTAGCAGTGTTGAGTGCAGGTACACTGACGTTAGTAGTGTTGAGTGCAGGTACACTGATGGTAGCAGTGTTGGATTGCAGGTACACTGATGTTAGCAGTGTTGGAGTGCAGGTACACTGATGTTAGCAGTGTTGGAGTGCAGGTACACTGACGTTAGTAGTGTTGAGTGCAGGTACACTGATGGTAGCAGTGCTGGAGTGCAGGTACACTGATGTTATCAGTGTTGGATTGCAGGTACACTGATGTTAGCAGTGTTGCAGTGCAGGTACACTGATGGTAGCAGTGTTGAAGTGCAGGTACACTGATGTTAGCAGTGTTGGAGTGCAGGTACACTGATGCTATCAGTGTTGGAGTGCAGGTACACTGATGTTAGCAGCGTTGGAGTGCAGGTACACTGACGTTAGTAGTGTTGAGTGCAGGTACACTGATGGTAGCAGTGTTGAAGTGCAGGTACACTGATGTTAGCAGTGTTGGAGTGCAGGTACACTGATGCTATCAGTGTTGGAGTGCAGGTACACTGACGTTAGTAGTGTTGAGTGCAGGTACACTGATGGTAGCAGTGCTGGAGTGCAGGTACACTGATGTTATCAGTGTTGGATTGCAGGTACACTGATGTTAGCAGTGTTGGAGTGCAGGTACACTGATGTTAGCAGTGTTGAAGTGCAGGTACACTGATGTTAGCAGTGTTGGAGTGCAGGTACACTGATGCTATCAGTGTTGGAGTGCAGGTACACTGATGTTAGCAGCGTTGGAGTGCAGGTACACTGATGGTAGCAGTGTTGGAGTGCAGGTACACTGATTATAGAAGTGTTGGAGTGCAGGTACACTGATGTCAGCAGTGTTGGAGTGCAGGAACACTGATGGTAGCAGTGTTGGAGTGCATGTACACTGATGTTAGCAGTGTTGGAGTGCAGGTACACTGATGTTAGCAGTGTTGGAGTGCAGGTACACTGATGGTAGCAGTGTTGGAGTGCAGGTACACTGATGTTAGCAGTGTTGGAGTGCAGGTACACTGATGTTAGCAGTGTTGGAGTGCAGGTACACTGATGTTAGCAGTGTTGGAGTGCAGGTACACTGATGTTAGCAGTGTTGGAGTGCAGGTACACTGATGTTAGCAGTGTTGAAGTGCAGGTACACTGATGTTAGCAGTGTTGGAGTGCAGGTACACTGATGCTATCAGTGTTGGAGTGCAGGTACACTGATGTTAGCAGTGCTGGAGTGCAGGTACACTGATGGTAGCAGTGTTGGAGTGCAGGTACACTAATGGTAGCAGTGTTGGGGTACAGGTACACTGATGGTAGCAGTGTTGGAGTGCAGGTACACTGATGGTAGCAGTGTTCAGTGCAAGTACACTGATGTTAGCAGTGTTGGAGTGCAGGTACACTGATGGTAGCAGTGTTGGAGTGCAGGTACACTGAGGTAGCAGTGTTGGAGTGCAGTTACAATGATGTTAGCAGTGTTCAGTGCAAGAACACTGACGGTAGCAGTGTTGCAGTGCAGGTACACTGATGGTAGCAGTGTTGGAGTGCAGGTACACTGATGGTAGCAGTGTTGGAGTGCAGGTACACTGAGGGTAGCAGTGTTGGAGTGCAGGTGCACTGATGGTAGCAGTGTTGGAGTGCAGGTGCACTGATGCTAGCAGTGTTGGAGTGCAGGTACACAGATGGTAGCAGTGTTGGAGTGCAG